AAAGCTGTAGGCTGTAGAATTAATCTGATGAGCTTCTGCAATATGACTAATTGGCGCTGCTGGAAATTTTTGTCTGCCTCTTGCCAGTGAATAATTTGAATGTGAATGTAGAATAATGAACATCTTTTCAGAAGACCCCTTTTCTCAGTTTTTTTTTTTTTTAATTTTATGTAGCCCATCACTCTAACTGTCAATCCAATTAGTGAATAACTACCTTCTGCCCAAAGACAAAGGAGAACAACAGAAAATGAGAAGAGCACATTTGAGGTATTGGTGAAATAAATGTCAAATCTTGTTGGTTTCATATCGGAAATATCTGAAACAATGTGTATCCAGTACGTGGTCAGCTGGGTCAAAAAGATCCTCTGTTGATAATTAAATCAACTTTAGTTAACTTAATTATGTTTTTTAAATATAAAACAGTGTCACATCACAAAAAAATGAAATAATGTTCGATTCACCCGAAACTATTAAAGGACCACTTTTCCTTTCTTACAAGTTAGGATTGGTCAGTTTTGAAAAAAAAAAAAAAAAAAAGTTTCATACACATTTATATATTAACTTTGTCATTAGCATAAGATTGATTAGATTTTCAGTCATTCCTCTGTTTCATGATGAGTATTAAATGATCATTTTACACTCCTTCCTGTCTGGGTGGCCTCAGAGAGAGAAAGCTGAGGCCACGATGTCCCGGTCACAGCACTTTGAGTCAGAGGGGTACGTTTAATGCATTCTGTGAGGTTTTTATCTCGGGCTGCAAACCACTCACATGGTTGATTTATTAAACAGCCACACACTCACAGATAAAAGTAAGAATAAAAAAAATAATAATAATTTGAAACCTGGTGTAATTATTACCTGGTTAAACATTGTCATCATTGAAGTGAGTGAACAACAATGTTCTATGTGAAGGTGTGTAACTATTTATTAAATGATTTAAACAAAAATCAATATGGCAGACTAAAGCATTGTGGACTTTAGTTGCAACCCTTGGAGGCTGACAGAATCATAAAAGCATGAACAATTTGAAACTATATCATTCAGAGCGTCTATCCAGTGACCCAGCCGTTCAGTTTGTCCTCCAGCTGTGAAAATAAGTTTCATACTAGTCATTGTTATTGCTTCTCTTTTTTTGTTAGAAAACAATTGAGTTTCATGAGTTTTTAAGGAGGAAAGAAGAGAGTGGCAAATTTGATTTAACTAAGAACATGTGAGGGATGACATCACTACCGGTGTCGCAGTGAAAAGGACTAGGGAGGACCAGGATCATGGAGACTATTAAGTGAATAGTTTTGTTGCTGCTTATTTTAAGGGAACTGAAACTGAACTGGATGATGTTGGGACTGATAAGGCTATCAAAGGTTCAGTTACGAAAATGAGTCTTGTCATTTGGGCCAGTATGGCAGCATATTGCGCTGCAGCCAATGATACTTTTCTTTATCATAGTTTGACATTTTGGTAAATGCCCTTGTTAGATTTCTAGCTTAGAGGTAGATAAGAAGATCAATACCACTCTCATGTCTGTCTATTGACTTGGGAGCTGTAGGCAGGAGTTTATTAGCTTAGCTTCTGCATTGTTCACGTCATGTGGGGTGGAAGTTAATGATTGGAAAGATTACCATGTTTACAACTTGCGGGTGTTCATGTCATCAGTCAACTCAAGATGGCAGATGGCTTTTCATCTTTTGCTATTGCTTCTCACCCATTACAGGAGATTCTAGTTGTCTTAATAAATAAACAAAGTACAAAGACATTTTTGCTACATTTCTTCAAAGGTCGTACTGTCTACCATGCAAATTGTTTGCTCGAAAACACAATGTCGACATGTAACAGGCATGTAATTTAAACAATTTAAAGTGTAATAACACAGAGTGATTAAATGGATTAAAAATAGTGCTTATTTCAATATTGCACTATATCAAATTAAATTGAATAGATACATTTCAAATTGTTTTGCCTTAAACAGTTGGCTTTGGTAGCAGTTGTTTATTTTCTAGCTCCAGAACTTTCAGAAATCTTTGATTTTCACAGTTACAACTTGATTTGAACGCTATTTACAAGAGGGAAAGTGTAATTACTTTAACTTTGATGCAAACATGACATTAGCATCAAAACTAGGTAGGGGGAGATGACTAGCTACCTGGACCAGCACCTCTAAAGCTCACTAACTAACATGTTCTGTCTTTTGAGATTGATCTGTAAACAAACCAAAATGTAACGACAAGTTTTTGTTTTATGGGATGTTGTGGGCTTTGCCTTTATGCTACGTTAAGATAATCTATCCTCTAGCTTCATATTCAATGAACATCTTCTCATCTAACTCTCGGGGTAAAAAGAAACTAACAAAAAAAACCCCTGCTAAACATTGTTTTATGAAGCGGAAACCTGGGTTACTTTAGTTGAGAGACCCTGTTATCTTTTTATCATGATCCCCAAAAATTATATGAACATTAAAACTATCATTAATTCATTCATTACACATTCTGCTTATCCTTTTAGGGTCGGGGGGCGCTGGAGCCAATCCCAACTGACATTGGGCGAGGGTGGGGTCCAACCTTGTAAAAGTATCGGTTAAAGCTAAAAATGATGTGAATAGTTAATGTGTGAATAACACTGATGAAAGAAATAAAAACCTTAATTCACAATGTTTTTAAAACATAAGAGGCTGTGAAAGGAAATGGGTGTTTGTTGGTATACAGTACATCTGCATGTGACCCTTGTGTACTTCATGCTCCTAACATCCATCCAGTGTTCATAAGATAAATAATTAAGTCCTGAGATTTATATGGAAGACCTTTCTCCACTTTCTACTCATAAAATCTTCATGTTCATGGAGGGTCTTTGCTACATAGGCATGAATTAATTTCCCTTCTGCTAATGTTGTTTGTCTTAATAATCTTCCACTTTGGGGACTGAGCCAAATTGTACTTTAGGCACTTAACTCTGGCAGAAATCCATCTTCTGTGAGTGTTACAGGCTAGACATAGAGAAGTGTTGAGATAAGGACTCAGTATTTCATCTTCTTGACACAACAAAAGCTGGGAGATTGAAGATGTAGTCTCCCTTCATCTGTTATATTTTCTCATTTATGACATTCATGTTTCTAGATTTCACAATGCTTTGTAAACATGAATACAACTTTCCACCAACAACTTGTTCAGTGTAGAGAACAAAAGCCACTACAGCGTTACATGTTACTGTTTCTTGAAAAATGTCAAATGCTGGCGCTTATTATGAAGAAGCTCTAAGTCCTCGATTCAAGGTGACCCTGTACTGAGCTCATGTATGCCAGCTATAATAAAAACTTTCCGTTCTCTGACCATCACTATAATGAGGACAAAAACTCTCCTTTCACCTTAAGCTTCTATAGAGGACATTATATAGGATGATTCACATTTTAGACCACTGCAGCCCCATGTTTACGCAAATATCCTCTGTCCTCTGTCTTAGTGCCAGCTTTGCCTTTTGTGATTTGGGCGCACGCCTTGGCCAGTGACAGTCTGCGAGGTTTGCAGGAGCATAACTCAGAATCGGATCCATGAGTGAGCCGTGAAGAGACTATTAGTCAGAGGAGACAAATTCACCAGAGCCCCTGACTGCCCTTTCTGTCCAAATGTCTACTTGGAAACAAACAAGATTAATGTGTTGTTGTCTGGGTTTGTGTGAGTTGTGAACTTAGAGGAGGCATGTAAGGAATACAGAAAAGAAATTTAAACAAAAATCTGGACCATGACAGAGATGCCGGCCTCATTACCCAGGTTTATACTGAATCTGTGGCTTGAAATCACTCCGTCCGTCACTTAGCACTTCCAACCAAAATTTGATGTTTATCTTTTCTGTCTGACCTTTTTTCCTCCTTGGCATTTCCCTAGTTATTATTCACCACGTGTATCAGGCTTAAACATTTTCACACAGCAGTGAGCTCATCTCCCACATAGGTGTCATTTTAATGCTTGTTTGTCCGATAGGGGTAGAGGAACTAACAGAGGAGGGGAGGCAAGGTCACTTATTGCCCTATTCTAACATCCATTAAGAAATATGCTCAGAAAGCTGGGCTGGTAGATTTGTAGCCTAGAGAGAGAATGAGAGGTAGGCTGCTGTGCTGAAGTGCTCCATGGTTATTTGTCTGTATCACCTTGGCAGTGATGCCAAGTTGTAATTTTCTTCTGGCAGGAAAGGGCTGTCCCCATGAAGTAAATTTTTGGAAGCAAAATTTAAACTCTGCATGAACATAGCTTCATTCAAGTCAGGCCTCCCTAGTCCCCAGCAGTCAGCAGCATTAATAATTCTCTGTTGCCCTCTTGTGGTTTCCCCACTTTTCTGCATCAACACGTTTCACCTCCAAAGTAATACATGACTAGTTTCTGATGTTCTCGATGTTGTTGTTTAGAGATTCAATTCAGACACCAGAAGAGTCCTTAATGGTCAGATACATATATATTGTGTGAAATGTCGGTTAACCAAGAAAGCATGAGCGGTAAAGACAGTAAAAGTTTATTGGATTATCATTACTGAAAAACCTTCAAAAGAAACTGTTTGTAGCTTGAAATGGTAACATTTTATGCAGGATTATATTTTGTATAAAAGCAAATGCTCAAGAAGTGAAACCATAAAAAAACATAATATCTTTGATACTTCTAGTCTAGACATAAGAAAAATCAATATAAAAACTTAAACATGTAAACATTTTTAAACATCTGTTCCAATGAGAATTTTTAGGAAAACAGTAAAGTAAGACAGGTGCATTTTGCTGTTGTTTTCCTTAATCACTGTGGCTCTAAATAATGGTCCATTGAAAGAAACAGTTCATCTTAGCACCTTCATGATACAATTTCACATGTCTGTGTCATGAGTTCAGTTGGAATTAGCTGCCATTTTTGTTTTAATTGCATACTGTAAGCTAACTAAAACCATACATAGTTCAGTGCAGGTTCAAAACCTTTGTATTTTGCAATTCAAATAATAAGATTTTTCATTCAAAATTGTCCATATAAACTGAACTAATTCAAAATGAAGGTGTCCCCTCGTTTTGGCTCTGCCTCCGGCTCTAAACTTTGTTGTGTTGGGTCCACCTTGGAGGTGCAGTTTCTGAGTTCGCCTCTCAGCTCAAACAACTGCTGAGCATGGCTGGAGAGAGTCCCATTTACTTGCAGGAGAAGCCCATTTGATTGTCTCTCTAGCTCCTCCCTGATTCTCTCCAGATCCTCTGCCAAGTAATTCAGGCCCTTGCACTGATCCTCCACACTGGCAACACGTCCACCAACCTCAGTTACCTCTTTCTGGACCCCCATGGCAGTACTCCGGCAGCCCCGGACCTCCTCTGCTAGCCGCCTCTTCATCTCATGCAGCTCACTTTTAAGTCGGGTGAGTCTGCGCTCACCTGCCCCAAGCATGGAAGCCTGATGTCCAACTAGCTGGACCACACCCTTTATCTGCTTGGCTAGACGAACCTCTCTCTCATGCCAGGAGCTGTTGGCTTTATCCACCTGGTGGACGATTGTTCCAAGGGAATCCTGGAGGCCTCTCAGGGTGCGGTTGACTGAGCGGACATTAAACTTGAGGATTGTGAGCTCTCCCTGGATGGGAGTATCTCCTTCTGCTTGTTCCTGCTGGTCCCTGAGGGTCAGACGCCTCAGGATATTCTGCAGTGTAACATTCAGGGTATTCAAACGGTCATCTTGTATGTCCAATACCTCCTTCACATTCTGCTCCTCTGCCAGGTTAGTATTTGGTGCAGCAGAGTCTCCCTGGATGGCAGATGGGTTTTGAGTTGAGGAACAGGAAGAAGAGCAGAGAATCTCAAGGCTGCTCAGGTGTTTCTTCACTCTGTCCACATCCACCTCTAGTCTTCCCCGGAGGGACTCCAGTTCTGTCTCCAGAGTAGGAACAGCATGACCCTCCAACAGTGCTGGGGCAGTGGCATTGCCCAGCTCTTCCAAAGCCATCAGTAAACGGCCCTCCAGAACCCTCAGCTTACCTTCCATTCTGGCCTCCAGGTCCTGTCCTGTCTCAGCTCCGTCTGTGACACCCCTCTTCTTTCCGAAGTCATCACTTTTAATCTGCCCTGTCAGGTTGAGCTTGGCCTCAACATACCCTAGACGTCCCTCCAGCATTCCCTCGATGTGGTCCTTGTGTCCACCCAGCTCCACTCTCAGGTGCCCCTGGGACTGGTTGAGGCCTGCCACTGATGTTTCCAGCAGCTGCACCCTTTCAACCAGTCCACTCACCCTGCCACAGCAGTTTTCTGTAGCCTTTAAACCATGGATCTGTGCCTGGAGGTTTCTCAGCTCTGTTCTCAAGTCTGTGGTACTTTCAACCAGAGCATCTTCCATCTGCTCTTGCCTCTCACCTTGCTCCCTCTGGCACTGACGATGCACATCTCCAGCTTTCTCCTCGCATCGGCCTTCTGCAGTCTCAACACGCTTCTCAAGCCCACCAAGAATTTCTGTCCTGGCTGCATTCAGCTTGGCATCCATCAGCTTCTCTGTAGCTCTCTGGGCATTTCCCCCAAGATTGTCAGTGGAGTCTGATTCCACTCCAGCTCTATTTGACATCTTCTTCAGTTCTCCATCATGTCCCATCACTGTTGCTTTGAGTTCCTGCAGCTCTACTGTCTTGGCTTGCAGTTCTGTCCTGAGCTCCTCTACCCTTCCATTCAGTTCTGTAAGACCTGGAAACACGTGTGTGCCATCTAGACCCTCTGTCTCAGGATGTCCCCCAGGAATCTCTCCAAACCCTACACTGGATGGACTAGAGGCTACAGCTGGAGCAGGAACAGGACCAGGGGCAGCAGAGAGCAGAGCTGACAGCATCCTGTTGGCATCCTCTCTCAGAGAGGCTCGTAGACTATCCTCCAGTCCATTCACAGTTCCCCTCAGGGTCTCCAGACCCTGGTTTAGACGTCGCACATCCTCCTCCATTCGATATATTCGCTCCTCCGTTTCACTGTTTAGAGCCTGGCCTAAGAAGAGAAAGAAAGTTGTTAACATTGGAACAAACATATTACGCAAAGGTGCTTTGGTGTGAATGCAGTTTGAATTTCTTTCAGAGCCCATTATGATTCTATTATTAGAAAAAAAGTATGAGGGTGCCCTGTTTTGTCACTTGTCCACTAAATAGTCAGATCCAGTTAGCATTGGAAAGTAGTTTGAAATAAGGACGCACCTGTGGTCTCACCCTCATGCTGTTCACCACCAGAGGAAGGAGGAGGGATTTCCTCTGGTACATGTTCCTCAGGTCCTTGGCTATGCTCATGTTCATGCTCATGTTCTTGGTCATGCTCTGTGTGATGTGGCTCCTGGTGGTCTGGCATTGGCTCTGGCATTGGCTCTGGTTCAGGCGGATAGGGCTCGAAGGAGGAGTCTGGGTAGGAGGAGGAACTCGGAGGCCCAAAGTGACGCATTGGGTAAGAGTTAAAACTGCTAGTGGGCGGCCCTTTGGGTTGACTCCATGGGTTGACTTTCACAGCACTGTTAATAGGTGGGCCCTTAAACATGGGAGCCTTGAACATGGGACCTTTGTACTGTGGGCTCTTGAACTGTGGCCCCTTAAACTGTGGGCCTTTCATTGGTGGACCCTTGAATGGTGGCGTCATTTTCATGGGGTGTTGGTATACTGGAGGACCCTCCATACAGCCATAACCAGAGTACCCTGGGCAACAACGCCACTCCAGCTCCGTGACGGTTTTATGTGCCACCTTGTACAATGGTTTGTACATCAGGCGATACCTGAGTGGAACAACCAATTATTAGTCAGAAACATACACTTGACTCCAATATTTTGTAAGTGACATGAGTCCCAGTTTCCTCAGATCAAGAGATAAATCTTAACATAACATAATAAGAGTTGTTTACTCACATCAGAGTTGGACATTTTTGACCCCAGGAACACTTGTTGTACTCAGCCTTTACATAGGGGGCTGCCCCATCCTGCACGGTGAAGGAAACTGTCTTTTCAGTGACATAAGCACAGTGGTTCCTTCAAGAGAGGAGATAAAAGATGACAGAAGTGTGGCACATAAATATAATGTCTAGTTGGCTGAATGCCGTACAATGTAAATTAATATCTTAAATGATGTACTTGATCTGTCGGAGCACAAGATGAGGACCGAGAGAGAGACAGAACTTACTTGTGTCTGCTGGTGGGTTTCCCTTGGTCATGGTGTTGACTGTGCCCAGCTTTATACTGGTTAAACTGGAATGGTCTGTAGAACTTGGTTTCGACCATTGACAAAAATAGAGTCAGGAAGACAAAAGGACTCACAGCCATCACAGGATGCATCCTTGAATATCCACGTGTTATATAAAAAGCTCAGTGAAAGGAGTCTTCAAGCTAATCTCACTGAAGAAAAAAAGTATTCTTCCATTCAAGGGCAAGCAATAAGCTTAATATTCCACTCCATCCACTTGATATGGGAATTATTGAATTGCCAGGCTTCTGACAAAAAAAGATAAATCAACATGCAGAAACTCAGAAAAAGGCAAAAAAATTGACATAAAAAAGATTTCAGTCTCTGCAGTGCAAACTTTGTTAGAAAGCAGAATTCCACCCTGTGAATGTTGAGCCTGATGCTGACTGTGGGTGTGTTGGACTCTGTTAGACTGACAGCACTCCACTGTGGGTTTGGTGGACTACAGACACCACTAATAGGGCCCCACTGGCACCATCTGCATATCTCCTCCCACTCAACCTCCTCAAAGTAACACCAGGTTGACATTAGAGTAGAGAGGACAGCCCTCACTTTCACAGTTAGCAGTTATTGCTGTAGTATCTCGACGTTCTCAACTTTATAGAAAATACGGTTTTTATGATACATCTAGTTTGAAGGCTGTCTCTACCAATCAGGGCCAAGGCTGAACTATTTTCCCATGGTGACATCACGGCAAACCAGAGGGGAAATAGTGCATCACCTCCAGAGTGTACAAGACCAGGCCTTATCCCAAAATAGCATCTTTTGGTTGTTTTTTTCTTAAACATTTTAGTGTAATGGTGGAAATAAATAATAATCCAAGATGACAAGTGGACATAGCTGATGTTTATTTATCCTTTACAGAGTAAAGAACACTCACCCTGTATTTTGTATGAAATTTAAATGTATAAAGGGCTTTTTCACAGACGACATTTTGAGATGTCACAGTAGAAAAAGCACTGGTGTGAGTAATAAAAGAAATATATGGCTGAATTCCATTTGCTTTGGTTTCAGGGACCTGACCTGCACATGAATGGTTAACTGTGAAACTAGAATAGGACAGAGCCGTTGTTAATGTTACTACTACTACTATACATCTAGTACATTATCCGTACATTAGCCTTTCAGTCACAAAACCTGGCTCATCCTTCGACCTAATGAAATGAGAAAAGCTGCCAGCAACATCGATGAAAAGCGTTTTTGATGATGCCAGTGCTCCTTAAAAGCCCCGTGTGTGATATCGACATCATCCTCTGTATCCATTTCGAGCTACTGTTCTCCTCAGTTCATACACAGTATCTGTATATATCATTCACTATGAATGTCATACATTCAGTTGTCGTGCATTATTGAATGTCCGTCACAGTTTCCCAGAATCCAAGGTGCAATGGTAGACAAAGTATTACAATATTTATCAATACCACAGTGTAGAAATACTCTGTTACAAATAAAATTCCTGCATTTGAAAATGTATTGAAGTAAAAGTACAGAATCATAAGTATTGTATATTTTAAGTAAAATTTTAAGTAAAAATACCCAACTCTGTCCAACTAACTTATGCAACATTTACCTCCAGAAGAAGAATAAAGTATCATGAAACCAGAGAATGTTTGGTCTTTTGACTTAATGAAGGCCTTAAACAATTAATAAATCATCATAATCCTCTACTATAGTTTCATTTAGCATTAGTATGTGGTGCTGAAGGGGAGTCCACACGCACCTTCTCATGCTGGAATGACTGAGCTGAGTTAATATATTGGTGCTGATATTGTTGAGACATCAGAGGCTTGGCAGTCTCACAGTGAAATCTGTGAAACATCTTGGGCTCTTTTACTTCACACATGCACATTGACACAGTCTAAACCCCGACCTAACAGCAAACCTCCAGGAGCAGGAACAAATAAAAACAAATACGCTGTGTTGAAGGCTGTGACAGTACACACCCAGGCCCCTGAGTCCCTTGGGCCACAAACCAACACATTCATTCACAACACAAGTGGTTGTATAGTTGAAGAAGTTCACCACCATTAGTACAGAAGGAGGCCACTTTCCATTCAAATGCCAGTCAGAAGGAGCCACATTGTCGCTGCATATATTCATCTTAATCGATTTACCTTAACAAATCTCAGCACTCGCTTTTCAAAATGAAATATGGAATGTACAGTCTCAGCTTTTGGAGGACAAACTGAACACTCCTTTGAATAAAATCAAAACCTTCAAATGAAACCATTCAGCAAACATTCACCAAACAGCTTTTTCTTTTGGCCTTTAAAAATGTTGATTGCATTTATTTATCCTTTCTCTCCTGTCTATGCTTCTCTTCTATTGCAAAGTGGAATGCAGGGCATCATTAGAATGAGTATGTCATTCTTTTACAAGGTAAAAACTTAACTTATCATTATTATTATTATTATTATTATTATTATTATTATTATCGCAAGGCGGTCTGTGACTATGTAGACAGGTGGATGAGAAAACGAAATACAGTTTATCTCCATCAGTGGGTGGTTTGAAGGTCTGTGTTGTATGTGTATGTTTCTTTTAACATATACAATGATGGAAAGTAATTTGATACATTTATTGCAATACATTTTTTTTATTTCCATTTCATGATACTTAATACTTCTAGTCCACCACATTTCAGAGCAAAATATTGTACTTTTTTACTATACTTCATTTATCTGACAGCTATAGTTGCTTGTTACTTTTCAGATTAAGATTTTACAAAAAATAAAAACAATTGAAATTATAAAGTACAATACATTGTTAAATATGACACCAGTGGTCCCCAGTCTATTTTGACATGTGACCTCTGACTTGTGACCCCCTGACAAAAAAGTGTAGAAGTAAGTTATTATCAATTCCACCAAAGACACATTTCCTCTCTACACTTCCCAGATGGTTTTATTTAGATATCTGTTTGAGTTGGCAGTATCCAATACATAAACTTGAAGTGCTCTCAGAGAGCCCAGACCTCTGCCAAGGGCAATGTCAAACAAAATACACCAGATTTAAGTTAATTAAATTCATAGTAAATGATCCACATCCCTAAACCATGTTTGGTGCGAATCGGGTGAGTACTTTTTGCATATTCCTGCTGACAAATAAACTGACATGGGTGAAAACATAACCTCCTTGGTGGAGGTAAAAAAAAAACAAAAAAAAAAACATAAAAAACAACAACAACAACAAAACAACAGTATAGAATTGTACTGCATAAGTTTTTTCCTCTATTTCAAGACATGTCAGATTCATATTGTGACCCTTTGGAGGGGCCTGACCCTTAGGTTGGGAACCACTGGACTGAAATACCAAACTGTATATAAAGTACTTAAAAGTAGCTCCACCTCGACCAGCTGCAACAGTAAAATGCTGTTTACACACTGACCATCAGTATAAACAATATAATAATATCATATAACAAAAATCAGTCAGAACAGCCATTTTTCTACAGAGTGAGTGCTTTAACTTTAGATACTTTAAGTACATTTTGCTGATAATGCTACTTTTTCTTCAGTAGGATTTAAATGGAGGACTTAGGAGCACTACCATTGAGCATACAGTATGTATGGACCACCATTAATGCCAGACATTCTTGGAAAAATGTTTTGCTGTGACCATTGTAACGTGACCCGATTTTGAACAAGAGAAACACTGTGTCCATTATTCTGCATGGACCTTTTGATTGACCCTGTTTAGAAGCAGGCCCATTTCCTGTATCCTGTTTGTCCCAGGTCCCACCTCTTTTACCTGGAAACACCCTGTTCAGTTCAGATACACAACAGTGTGTGAGTGCGTGCTATACACTCTCCGTGAGCTCTTTTACCCTTTTGATTTGTAAACAGGCTCTCATTGTACCACGTGAAACATGTCACAGAGCGCACAGCATCCAGGCCCGTACTTTCTGCTCCCATGAAACAAATGAATCTTTATTCTGCGGACCGGTGGCAACTCCACCCAGAGTTTTCCTTGAATGGCATCACACAGTTACAGCTGTTGTAGCTTCCACTCACCTGCCCGTCATAACGCTTACGTCAGACTTAAGCTGTTGGTGGACTTCTCGACATTGCAGCATTATGAACAGGGTGAGGCCTGATTTGCCTGCATGCTCATGAAAAAAGTGAACGCCACATGAGTCTATGAAAGTCTGTGCAACATATGGGGAAATAGATTTTTGCTTATCCCTTCTCTATTTCTTTGTGTCTATTTAGTTTTAACACCAGAGGTCCAAATTCTGAGCTCGCCTGTCAATCTCTGTGTGTGTGTCTTTAGTTTTCAACAAAGCTGGCGCCCTCCTGCACTGTGTAGTTATTATACACAAAATCAGTGGCTGTAACCTGACGGGGAGAAAATGCAGCTTTTCCTTCCTTTTCCTCAGATTAATTTTACAAGAATTTTAAATGTTGGAAATCCAGGTTAAGGTTAAAGTTGTGTCTAATTTGCAGCGCTGTTTGTTTTAGAGTGGCCTATATCTGCTCTTGTATGTTCACAGCCATGTAAAAGAACAAACAGCAGTAATTGGTCGAAACACTTCACAAACCTTAACCTTGTTTCCTGCACTAGTTCACCCAGAATTATTTCATGCAAGAGCTGAATCTAGTTTTAGATATCTTTGAGAGAACATGTTTTTTTTTTTTTCATACATGTGAAAGTGAATTTCACTCTGAACTGTAATCAACTTAAGACTTAAGTCATTAAATAAGACAAATGTTGGCCTGAACAAACCTAATTTGGTGGCCACATGTCATGGCACACTTCACACGTTAGCCAAGAAGTTCAGTATGTTTACTGATGCCAGACTCACGGCAGTGTGTACACATCTGGAGACAGCCAACACACAAAAACAGACACACACACTCACACTCACACTCACACTCACACACTCATGTCTCCATAAAGGCAGACTGCTCTACAGAGACACTTTTTCTCTAAATGAGCATTAGATGCTTTCTCCTTATTTAAGTCATAATTTTTTTTACAGTTGCCTAGAAAAATCTGCCCCTAATTTCCCTTTTTATACACTTTGGATAACAGTCTG